CCCCCCCCCCCCCCCCCCCCCCCCCCCCCCCCCCCCCCGCCCCCCCCCCCCCCCCCCCCCCCCCCCCCCCCCCCCCCCCCCAGGCGGCAGCATGATAGTGAGTTATAAGACAGCATATCATTACTTCTACTTGGGTGATTAGAGTGTGAAACTATGAAGTCATACTATGATAGTGTGATACTATGAAAGTCATACTATGATACTGTGATACTGTGAAAATGTGTTTGTGTGGTATTGGTATGATTAGTCGATACTATGAATTCATGTTTATACTATAGAGTTTCACTGTATCAATTGACAGCTATTGAAATCTTGCAGAAATTCAAAAAAGTTACAGTTGTTGGGGTTACATCTGTTTGTATCTGACACTATCGAATTCAAGCAACATTTTTGTAGTATGGTTGATTGTACATGAACCGTCTTATTCGGGCAATTATTCTACTTTGAAAGTCTCCTAGGTAATATCTTGCCGGACTTTTTTCTGTCAAAGTAACAGCATTACATGTTGTCTGTTTTTTCTTGTGTATATGATACGAACCCGATGCTTGTTCTTATAAACACGTTTTTGTACTTTAATCGAGAAAATTGTCAATTTAATCGAGAATTCAAGTGAAAGAAAGTAGCGAAAAGTAAAGATGTGCACGGGCACCGTTTTCCTACCCGTCCCCGTCCCGAGAACTTGTGTCCGTACCCAACTTATGCTCCTTATCTTATGCCCAAGTTAAGCCGTCCTTAACTTATGCTCAAGTTTTCTCCTTTTCGTTTTTCAGCTAAAAACTTTTGTGTTTCGGCTGGCAATTTTCAAGTTATATTGTCAAGTAACTCTTTTAAAACTCCATGTATTTCAGCTAAAATCTTGTATTTTTTCACTAGAATTTTGTGGTTTTGCACTAAAATCTTCCGGTTTTCGGGTAATTTAAAAGGAAGCGGAACCCGTACCCGTATCCAACCATCGGATCGGATGAGGGTACGGGCCGTGTTGCACATTTCTAATAAACAGCTGCTCTCTTTTTTATTTGAAGTTCTTTTCTCTCTTTATTGAAGATAGAAGAGATCAAATAATAATATATCATACATATTTTTTGTTTCCTCCTTTTAAGATAAAGAAGAAATGAACAATTCAAGATTTGCACAGAATTGTACCCCTTTTCTAAGTAATCTGTTTAAAACTTTAAGAATAATGTCTGTAGCATTTGTGAAAAAAAAGTGAGTAAGCTGGGTTTTGAAAAAAGTACGGTATTTCATATAAAAATTTCATATCTCTGTTAAATCTAACTAACCCACTTGAAGCCTTCTTAGAATATTCTATTCCTAAAATTTTGAAAGTGACTGTAAATCGTTAAACATTTAAATATTTATATTTTACATTTTAAGAGGTAAAAATAATGCAGTTTCTACTTTGAAAACGCAAAATAAATTCTAAATTTTTCTAAGATCCAAAATTAACGTTATTGCATTCTGACATATAAAGTACAAAAAAACAAACGAAAATGCAGGTTGCAATGTCTTAGAAGGAAAATGCCAAACGTGCAGCTTCGTCATTATTATTACGTCATTATGTAATTTGATCTTGTATAATATTGTCAATTTAAAAACAATAGTCAAGGATACCTTATAGGGCGCCAACAGATTTTGTAAACCTACCTCGTTTTTTCTGGTAAGAGATGAAACCTTGATTTACACCGCATTCGATTCGCCTTTTCACAGGCAACAAAAGTATAAAGCCTTTTTTTTGAAAAATTCATTTTTTTTCTAAATCAGAGGTGAAAAAGTCAGAATTCTGCTCAATTTTCTCTATCGGAACTCGGAACCTTTTTGCAATAAAAAAAGCTCAAAAACTGAGTCGACTAATGTGTATTGATATCCTATTTGACTACTTTAGTTTTTGTCGAATTTTCACGTTGAAAAATTATCGAGATTCTCATCAAAAAATGGAAATCAAGTAAAAATTTCGAAATACACAGTTCTGATCCTGATCCTTTTTTATCGTTTCTACTCGAAAAAAAAGCAATGTTGATTATTGTGAACAGCAACAGTGAGTAGTACTTGCCCTGAAAATCTGTTTTTCGTGTTGGATAATAATTCGAGTGGGAAAATAATCGAGGCAACAGTAGTTCTTAACATTTTGCATTCATTCAAGTAATAAACATCGACATTTCACTGTTTCAACCAGCGTTTTCAAGACAATACTGTAAAATGAATCTGACAATATTCTTTTATATAATGCAAAGATAAACAATATAGTTACAATATAATATATTTCAATGATAAGGCTGCTTATATACCTTCTATTAATCATCGTCAAAAATTAATACACAACATACAGTATATGGGTCATATATCCTGAATGACTTCTTCCACTGAAACC